CGTGTTCCTGACCTTAGCGGAAAAGCTTTCAGTTTTTCTCCATTGAGAATGATATTTGCAGTGGGTTTTTCATAGATGGCTTTGATAATATTGAGGTACGTGTCCTCTATCCCTACACTTTGAAGAGTTTTAATCAGGAAGGGATGCTGCACTTTGTCAAATGCTTTTTCAGTATCTACTGAGAGTATCATATGGTTCTTGTTCTTTCTTTTATTAATGTATTGTATCACATTGATTGATTGTGGGTGTTGAACCAACCTTGCAGCCCTGGAATAAATCCCACTTGGTCGTGGTGAATAATCCTTTTAATGTACTGTTGGATCCTATTGGCCAGTATTTTGGTGAGAATTTTCGCATCTGTGTTCATCGAGGATATTGGTCTGTAGTTCTCTTTTTTGATGGGATCCTTGTCTGGTTTTGGGATCAAGGTGATGCTGGCCTTATAAAATGAGTTTGGAAGTTTCCCTTCCATTTCTGTTTTTTGGAACAGTTTCAGGAGAATAGGAATTAATTCTTCTTTAAATGTTTGGTAAAATTCCCTTGGGAAGCCGTCTGTCCCTGGGCTTTGTTTGTTTGGAGATTTTTGATGACTGTTTCAATCTCCTTACTTGTTATGGGTCTGTTCAGGTTTTCTATTTCTTCCTGGTTCAGTTGTGGTAGTTTATATGTCTCTAGAAATGTCTCCGTTTCTTCCAGATTGCCGAATTTGTTGGCGTAGAGTTGCTCATAGTATGTTCTCATAATTGTATTTCTTTGGTGTTGGTTGTGATCTCTCCTCTCTCATTCATGATTTTATTTATTTGGGTCCTTTCTCTTTTCTTTTTGATAAGTCTGGCCAGGGGTTTATCAATCTTATTAATTCTTTCAAAGAACCTGCTCCTAGTTTCATTGATTTGTTCTATTATTTTTTTAGTTTCTATTTCATTGATTTCTGCTCTGATCTTTATAAATTCTCTTCTCCTGCTGGGTTTAGGCTTTCTTTGCTGTTCTTTCTCCAGCTCCTTTAAGTGTAGGGTTAGGTTGTGTATTTGAGACCTTTCTTGTTTCTTGAGGAAGGCTTGTACCACTATATATATTCTTCTCAGGACTGCCTTTGTTGTGTCCCACAGATTTTGAACTGTTGTGTTTTCATTATCGTTTCCATGAATTTTTTCAATTCTTCTTTAATTTCCTGGTTGACCCATTCATTCTTTAGAAGGATGCTGTTTAGTCTCCATGTATTTGGGTTCTTTCCAAATTTCCTCTTGTGATTGAGTTCTAACTTCAGAGCATTGTGGTCTGAAAATATGCAGGGAATGATCCCAATCTTTTGATACCGGTTGAGACCTGATTTAGGACTGAGGATGTGATCTATTCTGGAGAATGTTCCATGTGCACTAGAGAAGAATGTATATTCTGTTGATTTGGGATGGAATGTCTGAATATATCTGTGATGTCCATCTGGTTCAGTGTGTCATTTAAGACCTTTATTTCCTTGTTGATCTTTTGCTTAGATGATCTGTCCATTTCAGTGAGGGGAGTGTTAAAGTCCCCTACTATCATTGTATTATTGTCGATGTATTTCTTTGATTTTGTTATTAATTGGTTTATATAGTTGGCTGCTCGCACATTAGGGGCATAGATATTTAAAATTGTTAGGTTTTCTTGTTGGACAGATCCTTTGAGTATGATATAGTGTCCTTCCTCATCTCTTACTATAGTCTTTGGCTTAAAATCTAATTGATCTGATATAAGGATTGCCACCCCAGCTTTCTTTTGATGTCCATTAGCATGGTACATTATTTTCCACCCTCTCATTTTAAATCTGGAGGTGTCTTCGGGTCTAAAATGAGTTTCTTGTAGGCAGCATATTGATGGGTTTTGTTTTTTTATCCATTCTGATACCCTTTGTCTTTTGATTGGGGCATTTAGCCCATTAATATTCAGGGTAACTATTGAGAGATAAGAATTTAATGCCATTGTATTGCCTATAAGGTGACTGTTACTGTATATTGTCTCTGTTTCTTTCTGATCTACTACTTTTAGGGTTTCTCTTTGCTTAGAGGACCCCTTTCAATCTTTTCTGTAGAGCTGGTTTGGTGTTTGCAAATTCTTTCAGTTTTTGTTTGTCCTGGAAGCTTTTTATCTCTCCTTCTAATTTCAATGATAGCCTAGCTGGATATAGTATTCTCGGCTGCATGTTTTTCTTGTTTAGTACTCTGAATATATCATGTCAGTTCTTCCTGGCCTGCCAGGTCTCTGTGGATAGGTCTGCTGCCAATCTAATGTTTTTACCCTTGTATGTTACAGACTTCTTTTCCCGGGCTGCTTTCAGGATTTTCTCTTTGTCGCTAAGACTTGTAAGTTTTACTATCAGGTGATGAGGTGTGGACCTATTTTTATTGATTTTTGAGGGGTGTTCTTAGCATCTCCTGGATTTTGATGTTTGTTCCCTTTGCCATATTAGGGAAATTCTCTACAATAATTCTCTCCAATATACCTTCTGCTCCCCTCTCTCTCTTCTTCTTCTGGAATCCCAATTCTTCTAATGTTCTGTTGTCTTATGGTGTCATTTATCTCTCGAATTCTCTCCTCATGGTCTAGTATTTGTTTGTCTCTCTTTTGCTCAGTTTCTTTATTCTCTGTCATTTGGTCTTCTATGTCACTAATTCTTTCTTCTGTCTCATTTATCCTAGCAGTAAGAGCCTCCATTTTTTATTGTACCTCATTAATAGCTTTTTTTGATTTCAACTTGGTTAGATTTTAGTTCTTTTATTTCTCCAGAAAGGGCTTTTATCTCTCCGGAGAGGGTTTCTCTAATATCTTCTATGCCTTTTTTGAGCCCAGCTATAACCTTGAGAATCGTCATTCTGAACTCTAGATCTGTCATATTAGTAATGTCTGTATTGATTAGGTACCCAGCCTTCAGTACTGCCTCTTGTTATTTTTTTTGTGTTGAGTTTTTCCTGCCTTGTCATTTTGTCCAGATAAGATTTGCTTTCTCCTCCTCTGGAATTCCGCTGCTCTCCTTGGTATTGAAACTGCACTCCTTGGTAGGTGAACTTGGTCCTGGCTGGACTTCTTGTTGATCTTCTGGGGGAGGGGCCTGTTGTAGTGATTCTCAAGTGTCTTTGCCCCAGGCGGAATTGCACTACCCTTACCAGGGGCTGAGCTAAGTAATCCGCTTGTGTTTGCTTTCGGGAGCTTTTGTTCCCTGAGCACTTTCTGAAGAGTTCCGGAGAATGGGAATGAAGATGGCGGCCTCCCAATCTCCAGCCCGGAGGAGCCGAGAGCTCAGGGTCCTGCTCCTCAGTGCGCCCTCAGAGAAAAGCGCTCAACTGACCCCGTCTCCCTGGCCTCTGGTCGCGCTTGTAGGAAAGCGCTCAATTGGTCGCACTTGGAGAAAAGCGCCCAGTCGCTTCCATCTCCGTTGCCTCCGGCCATGCTCTGAGCTCACCCAGCCTGCGACCGGTTAAAGGTAACCCCGAGCTGAGAGCTCACTCCTTGGCTTTGTCGCTGTAGCCGGCTTCCCCGCTCTAATACCTACAAGCTTTGCGACACTCAGATACCCCCTGTCCTTCTGTGACCCCACGGGACGTGGGGTTATGCTTACCCTGTGTGGGCTTCCTCCCGGTTTAGCCTCTGGAGCGATGTCCCTCTGTGGAGCAGACTTTTTATTAAAAGTCCTGATTTTGTGCTCCGTTGCTCCGCCGCTTCTGGGAGCCAGCCCCTCCCCCCGCGGTCTATCTTCCCGTCACTTTGGATTCACTTCTTCACAGATCCTACCTTTCAGAAAGTGATCAATTTTCTGTTTCTGGAATTGTTGCTCTTCTTCTCTTCAATTTCCCATTGGATTTGTAGGTGTTTTCAATGGTTAGATAAGCTATCTAGCTGATCTCCTGCTACCTGATGTCATCTCAGCCTGCTACTTCTCTGCCATCTTGACTCCCCCCCCCCAACAAAAAAACACCCTTCTGTTCTAATTTTTGAAACCAGGAGTGGACTCTGAAGAATATTCAATGTTTTATCCATTTCTTGAGATAATTAAGTACATTTATTGGACCTCTGGTTTGCAGTAATAGTAAAACCCTTTGTGTTTTGCAGCAAACTCTACAGGTAGTTAACCTTTACCTCACCAGATATTTACTCAGCAGCTACTAAGTGGCAGCTTGATGCTGAGCTCAGGAGTGGGGGTGGGTGGGTGGGGGAGATCAGGAACATAGGCAATTCCTGTGGTCCTGAAGCTCCATTCCAGTGGAGAAATTAGACCATGATCAAGCAAATAAATGAACCAGTTCAGGTGGTGGTAAGGCTGTGTCTGGCTTTCTGCAAGAGAATTGGGCATTGGAGCCCAGGGGCTGGTGAGGGTGACCAGGGTGAAGTTGGGCACCTTCTTTCTAGTGGGGCTGCACTTCTTATTGAGGCAAGAAGAGACCAGTTTTTCTCAGTTTAGCTCCATCAGCTTCTCTTTGCGTGGTCATTCTTTCCAGATTCCAGCATGGGTTGGGTATTAGAAAAAGTTTATGATGTTCCTTTGAGATCCTTCCCTTTCCTGTATCTTTAAAGGGATTTAATTGCTAAGATCAGAGAGTTGGCCTCTAGGTACTGAGAGGCCAACAGTGTATGTGTTCGGCAACAAACATGTATGTGGGAACCATAGTCCCAGCTGTGTTAATTATCCTGTTAATATCACTGCTTAATATATTTAACAACAAAGCCAATTGGGAAATTAAAAATGAGTACCAGCCCCCCTCTCCCGAACAACTGAGCACCCACTTCATGCTCATGTAGGTCTCCGAGCTAGCTAGTGTGTCACCTCTGACTGTGGAGATGCGATAGCCCAAAGGGAAGAAAGACCTTGTGCAAAGACGCACTGGAACCAGTGGGAAGAGCTGGGATCTGAACCCTGATCTTTCCTCTCTGGACACCGCATTTTTAACCAGTATACTGTAGGCTTGTGTCAAAAACAATCTGTAAGGATGATGATTGCTTGTAAGATGCTTTTTTTGTGTGTATTTCAGGTTTTGCTGATCTTTGCAAAGGAAGATAGTCAGAGTGATGGATTCTGGTGGGCCTGTGACAGAGCTGGCTATAGATGCAATATTGCACGGACTCCAGAGTCAGCCCTTGAATGCTTTCTAGATAAACATCATGAAATTATCGTAATAGATCACAGACAGACGCGAAACTTTGACGCAGAAGCGGTGTGCAGGTACCTTCCCTAACGGAACATGCTTGTTACACGTTCACGTAATAGCTTAAAATGACTGTCCCTCAGAGACGGCTTTAGTTCCATCCCAGTATTTCTAGAATGCATGTTGATGTTTCTAAGCAGTCTATGCAGATTTCCGTGAGGAAAACTAGAGCTCCTCCTCATCTCACCGTTTCTGTTTTTCCATGTTTGAGTTCCAGGGAATTGAGAGGTGCGAGCTGGGTAACTCTGAAAATATCAAGGTGTTTTTTTCCCCCAAGTATTGCTCCTGTTTCAATCACACACACACACACACACACACACACACATGCAAGAGACATTAAAATTCACATAGTTTTTATGATGCGGATAGGGTTTGGATTTAAACCAGATATCTTAATCTTAATTATTCTGTCCCCAAATGAACATGGGAAATGTGTGAAATATACATTTCTCCCTGCCTGACACAGATGGGTAGAACCTACAGCAGCAGAAAATCTCGCAGGGTTCCAAACTCCCCACTTGTTTGCAGAAACACTCGCACTCCGGGGGGAAAGACATGCCTGTTCATAAATAAATGCAGTCCTAAAAGTTTGCTGTGGATGAACTGATCCATTGAGCAGAAGTGGAATGCTTTGAAGCTAGACAGCAAGAGGTCACTAATTAAATGCTAGAGCAGCACAGACTCCAATTACATATGGAGCTAGAATTTTCTTGAATCTTAGTAAGTGAGATGAAAGGTAAGGAAGTGGCTTCTTAGATCCTTTGGCATCCTGACAAGAAATGATTGGATTAGAGACATTTCTCATCAGAGGCATTGCCTTGTATTCTTTGATCCTCCTCAGTGTCTCAAAGAAGAATTTTTCTTACAGAACCTATTTTAAAATGTCTTACTGGCCTCAGATAATCTTATTGTTGTGCATAGAAAGATTTTCTTTTGAAATTATTATATATATGAATAAGTGTATCATAAAGTATTTGGATGGTACTTTCAGTATTACTAAGAAATAATTAGTAAGAGATAATAAGAAAAAAAGAAATATTTTTCCTTTTTAGATGAGCTACAGGTTAGAATTCGTCCTTCTAGATATAATTTTTCTTGGTCTTGACTTAATTTCCTTAAATGATTTTGTAGTAGAAGCACTACAGTCCTTTGTGCATACATGGAATGATTTAAGACAAGATTCAGGTGTAAAAAGAAATGCTTTTTATCTGGGTAAAGGCAAAATTTAGCAGCTAAGCTTTACAATCTTCCTTGAATATAAAGAAATTTAGGGTTCTTTTTTTATCTAATGTACTTCTGTCTTAGCTGCACAGAAAAACAGTGGGGGATCTGCATAGGTCAGAAGCCAGATTGTGTATCTGGAGGTGTGTGTACTGTCTGCTTATATTCAGGGCAGCCAGATTCCTGAATGTGTGGCTGCCGGTACATGTCCCCCTAAGACGAGTAAGGGACACACTCCTGGCAGATAGGCATTCGTTACTGTCCTCCACAGTCCGAGATCCCTGGATTTTTGAGCAAGCCTGGACCTTAGCTTGACATGCTTCCTTGGATCTCTGCCCACCAATGGCAGTCCCCCTTTGTCCTCTCAATCAGGAAGAGCTCTGGGTCTCCCTGACCATCCCACTTCCTTTGGAGGAATAAGAAAGAGGAGATCAGCAGCAGGAAGCAACCCCAAACATGGAAGCCAGTTCCAAAAGAAGTAAGGGAGCATGGGCTCCAGCCCCATTATATTCATAATAAGTGTTTGAGCCTCTTGAGACCCACCCCTTAGAACACAGCCTAGCAGTGTAGCCTTGACCTCTCAGTGGGGTGGAAGAGGCTGCACAAGGCTGAGAAGTGCTTAGTATTTCCCTAGAGAGTAGGGTAAGCCTCTGACTTGATGCATTTTTTTCATTAGGTGTTAACTACTATTTCTGCTGAGAATTCAGTAGGCCCTCAGGTAGAAAAAAAGGGCACGTTGGCCTTACCAAGACCTGTGCTGTGGGGTGGCTGGACAGGAAGTAGTCCGTGCTAGCCCGAAAAGGGGGTCTTGACTTAACTCTTCCTGTCCCACAGTGAATTAAGGTCTTAAACTTCAGGGTTTTGCTCAGATGTCATTTATCTCCCGGGAGAGGCTTTACTTCCCAGGAAGACGAGAGCTGGTCACTTTCCTGAGCCTTCCACCCACATAGAGTGAGGTCTCAAGGAATAGGAAATCAGGAAAGTACCTTTTCTGAAAAAGGTCAGGAAATGTGAGAGTTGAAGGAAATGAAGCAATGCAAGCTGGTTTTTTCTAGGGGAGCAGTAGTACAAACATGTTGAAGTGGGGGAGAGCTGAAATGCCAATAGCTAGGCAAGAGCAACAAATCCATGTTGTTTCACAAGTTACACAGAAGCTGCTTTGAGCCTTCTGTTCTTGGAAAGGACGGTTCTCTTCCCAGAGATCTCAAACAGAGTCTAGACTGAGGAAATGGGTCACCGCAAGCATGCTCGTTTGTACTAAGACTCAAGTATGTGGCTCTTTGTGAACAGTTCATGTAGTTCACGAGCCCGGGACAGGGACAACCCAGAATCGGAGCCACAGCACACAACAGCGCGTGTTGTAAAGAGACCCATGGACCTCCAAATTCTAGATCCTTTTGCGTTCTGATCCTGCTAAATTCCTAGGAATTGAGCGACCCACAGGTCGTCGTGGTATCGCGGGGGTCACCAGGGACCGTGGCCGCAGAGCTGCGTGGCCCAGCCCTAGTTCATGACCCACTCGTTGAAGGCATTTCAGCGCAAACAGCAGTACGACCAAGACAAATGAGGCAGCTCCTTGTATCTCCTTCAGATTTCAACCTGAATTTGTTGGTCCAGCTGTCAGCGAGTATTTTAATTTTTATTATAAGGTCATCTTTCTAAGCTCTCTGCTGTTTTAAAAGGAGAAAAAAAGAGGCAATGCAGTTAGCTCCCTAAGTACAAACTGATAACTGGAGAACTGTGGGACTCCCATTTTCTTTGAGAAGTGGAATTTCAGTCAGAAAACATGGAATTTAAGTGGAATTTGCCAGTTTTTGAAGTGGAAATTGGCAGATCTGACCCATTGGATAACTGCCCAGGCGTTTAAAAAAAAAAAAAGGCACCACACTTTTTTTTTTTTTTTTTTAAGGAAAAACAAAGAGATTGTCCTAATCTCCAAGGGCATCTTTCTTCGTTGTCTTCGTGTGTTTTCAGACTTTCTCTTGAGAGGAGGATGGGGTTTTGTGCCATTTTTCCACGCAAAGTTCCACATTCATTGGGTGTAACAAAGCCCATATCACCTGGTTTGACTTGGAACCTTTTCGTTGCAGGTCGATCCGGGCCACAAATCCTTCCGAGCACACGGTGATCCTTGCGGTGGTTTCACAAGCGTAAGCTCCCCTCCATCCCCAGCTGGCAGTGGTACTGTTCATTCTGAAACGTGTGTCTGATGGAATCCAGTCTTTGAGCCCGCTGAGCAGTGGGCATGCCCTTGGCCCCACAACACCAACTTCAGATCTCCCTTTGCAGGGCTGTTCTTTATGTTGCAAGGTTCTGGATATATTTAGGTTTCTGTCGGTTGTACTTGACTGCTCTTAACCCAGACTGGAACACATGAGGGAAAAAAAAATGGGTGCTCGTTACGTGCTAGAAATGAAGAGAAGATCTGAGGGAGATGTCTGGGGAGAACTTGTTCCCTCTCACCTTTTTTCTTTGAAGAAAAGAAGTGGGAGGCTGCTTGTTTTTCACTAAAGAAGAAACAAATGACAGCATTAGCACAAAGAAGCACTAAATACTCTGGGAGGAAAGGATTGTATAGTTGGGGTCAGGATTGCTCTGTGTCTAGAAGCAGGACGGTAGGAGGTGTGCCCATGCTGTAAGGCAGCAGAAGGGGGATTGGGCTGTAGGTACGAGGTGGTGGAATGAGAAGCAGCTCTGCTGATCTGTCGCCTAAAATGGCCACCCCTTAAAATGAGAGACCTAAAAGGAAAAAAAACGTTGTTGGTACAAGCTACAGTCGTTGGAATCCTTGCAGTATCAAAATTGTTGTATTTGTTTTAGTTGCCATCCTTTGCTTCGGAGAGAAGAAGGCCTTTGATGAGGGCCTAGGACCTTCCTGGACTTGGCCCCATTGTGGGAGCTGGCAGAGATTCTGTGACAAGCCAGCAACAGAGGCAGGAGAGTTGAGGTCTCCCCCAGGCAAGCCTGGCCCCGGGGAGATCTGAAATAACTTTGTTCCAAAGCCGTATTGGTACAGGAGGAAATCGTGACTTCAAAGTTTTACCCCAACCAAACACTTTTCCTTACCTATTATTCCTTGAGTGTATTTTTGGTTTTTTTAAGATTTTATTTATTTATTTGACAGACAGAGAGCACAAGTAGGCAGAGGCAGGCAGAGAGAGAGAAGAGGAAGCAGGCTCCCCGCTGAGCAGAGAGCCCGATGCGGGACTTGATCCCAGAACCCTGGGATCATGACCCGAGCTGAAGGCAGAGGCTTTAACCCACTGAGCCGCCCAGGCGCCCCACCTTGAGTGTATTTTTAAGAGCTGTGTCGCTTCACTTGATTCCTACCATGGGCTCTCGCTGGGCCAAAGAAAGGAAAGAAATTGTTCCCATTGCTTCTGTTTCTCATGATCCTGGTGGGATATGAGGTCTCAAGGGGAATGAGTGAGGGGGACCAAGGTGTATTTAGCCTTCCTCACCTCCAATGAGGTGTTACTAGGATGTCCAAGTCTTGCGCATGGATTCCAGGAGTACACCAGGCCACGCGTCCTATTCCCCAAGCCTGGCTCATGCCACAGACCCAAAAGAGAAACCCAAATTTTTTTTTTTTTTTTTACTCTAGTCATGTAGCAGAAATGCTTACAAATCCTTGACAGAGAAGGATTTGCTATGGCTTGTTATTTTCCACCCTTTTCCTCCTATTTTTAACATAAAATATTTTGCATAGATCACAGAAAAATAATAAAACGAATGCTGAGTTTGTGCAGCCCAGCTTATGAAATAGAATGTTATTAACACCTTCGGACTCTCTTTGTGCCCCTCCTCATTTATCAGTCGAAGAAGGTGGAATCTGGAGTTCCTGAGCAGAAAAGCGAGGAGGACTGCTTTTCCCTGGAGGGAAGGCATAAGCTGTGGGGAAAGCCACAAACAAGCCTCAGGATTGTCCTTTCTGTTTTCCACCCGCTCTTCCACCCAGTATCTTGTATTCCTTTTTCCTTCTCTGTTTTCCAAGGTACATACTCCATGTTAACCTGCTGGCTCTTTTAGGGACACCCTTTCTCTCTCAAAATGATGGAAGCAGAAATGCAGCCTGTCTTCATGAGGAGCAGACCTTGTACCCAAATGAGGTTCTGAGACCCAGCTATAGGCTCAGTGCAGGAAACCTTCCCATGAAATGAGGGACCATCATCTGTTTTTTTTTCTCTTTTCCCCTTCCAGTGTGGCATTCCTGACGACGCTTCTTTTGCACTGGGCTATGGGGTGCTGTCGTCTGTAGTGTCAGCTGTCTTCTTCACATCGGGAGTTGGACCCAGCCAGGGCTTGGGTTGGCAGTTGTGCTTCCAGAGGGTTTGGGGACAGCATAAAGGACAGTGGTGTCTGGGATGAGCACGGCACCTACCTTGTCCCATCCATTTGTTGCAACTTTCAAGGGCAGCCCAGCTTTGGGGATGGCCACTCGTGTGTACCTGTGGTGATGCTTTCAGGCACACTGCTGGAGTTTTCTTGACTGTTCGTGTTCTTTCTGTATCTGGAAGGCAGACATGGGTCCAGGAAGGCAGGTGCATCCCGTGGGCACATGCTGGTCAGGAAGCCACTGTTAGAGCAAATGCCATGCTTGCCTCATTGCTCTCTCTCCATGTTTCAGTGTGAGGAACCCTGGTTTGTATCTACTGAGTGACTGCATTTTCTGCTTTGCTGCAGATTGGGTGACCGTGAAGAGGCCTCTGTCCTCCCTCTCCTGCATGCAGGCTTCAACAGGGTATGTATGGAGGAGGTGACTCAGCATCTCTCCACAGTACGGATGCTCCCCCACTGCCCCCCATGACCTTTGTGTAACAGCGCAGCCATAGAGCCACACAGAAGCTCTAAGACAGTTGAGCTCCAGGACTGTGAGGGGAAGGAAGTAACTGTTCTCTCACAGGATGGGAACAAGCAACCGCTAGTCGGGCTTTTTCCTTCATAACTTCATGCGTCCTAGTTAGAGGAATGTAATGACCTAGAAACACATCTTCCCACACCAGGTCAAAATTCTGAAGTCCCAGAGTCACCTCACTTAAATGAGTCCCATGAATGAGATTCGTTATACATCTGTAGATGTTAGAGTTAAGTCCACCCAGTTGGCACCCAGGAGTCTGTTGGTCAAGGTCTCACCAGAGCTTATACCCCAAGGATAGGCCCATGTTGGCGTTTGCCTCTGTGGACTCCTGGTTAAAACCATAAACATCAGCAAAGGCAAGGTCTGTGAGTGACAACAATCGGAGTAACACTGGTGTTCAATAGGAAGCTTAAGATGGAGGACTCCAGGGGTGATGTCACCAAGACAGACACACGGTAGTTCCTGGTTTTACTCCTCATGAGCACAACCGTAGAAGCACCAGAGGCTGCTGAGAGCATCCTTGCATGTGGAGGTGAGGCTCACGCACGTCCAGCCCTGCCTCGCAGAGACCTGGCAGACTGTGTTAGCAGGGTGAGGGAAGTCATTCTGCACTGACCACATGGCCTCCCCGCCCCCTCCCTGTCTGGTCTAGGGGAAAGAGACCTCCGTGTTGATGATGATCTCTCCCACCCCAGCACTCTGGGTTGCTCTGTGGGAGCCCCTGCTCTGATCTTGCCCCACAGGGATAGTAAGGGAGTGTGCATGGGTCAACCACTGGGAATCTGACCCCTGACTGAGAAGGGGGTGGGACTTGGCAGACCAAGTTCTTACCTGCGGGGCCCAAGTAGTCACCCCATGCAGCTGTTCTGCTCATCTGCAGAACCCCGTCACAGGCGTACCTGACCAGGGAGCTCTGCAGGGTACAGATCTAGCTGATTGGGATCCTCAGCTGAGGAGTTTTGCTGGCTCTATTCCTGGTTTGCCCAGGCAAGGAATGGAATCCCAGTCCCAGCTGCTGTGGAGTGTGTCTTCAGGCCCTGTCTGACTGGCAGGGCTAGCAACAGCTCCCGGAAGCAATACAGCCCAGTGGCTCTCGAGTCGAGAGCGGGGCATGCAGAGCTGATGGTCCTCAGAGTCAAGGCCATACCCAGGCTGAAGTGTTCCTGTGCTACATACTTGGCACAGGCAGAGGGATTAATTCATAGCTAAGGGTAGCTCCCAGCATCTCCCAACCTGCAGAGCCTGTTTAGAGAATTGAGAGTAGCCTGGAGTGACCCCTCTCCTTCTTGCCCAGGCAGGGAAGGGGAGACCTAGCCACACTGGCTCTACAGAGTGTCTTCCAGTCCCTTCTGCCCCAAATGGCTAGGGATGACTCCTGGCAGCCCTGTGGTCCAGCAGCAGTTAGCAGAGAGGCAGGCCTGCAGAACTGAGAGTTTGCACAACAAAGCCAGTGGCCCATTCAGTCTGGGAACTTGGCAAGCAGGCCTGCTTGACTTAAGACAAAGAGTTCTACTAGTTTTAGAGATGCTTCTCCCGCTGTGCTGAGGCAGGAAATGTCATTCATAGCCCCACTTATCACTGAAACCAGCCTTTAGCCTGTCCAACCAGGGAACTGAACCAGAGCCTGCAGGAAGGTGCATAGTCTACTCGGCAGCTTTACGTACCATGGTGCTTGAACAGGAAGTACAGTGCAGAACTGGGGTGACCAGTTCTAGCCACCTGACCAGGAAATACAGTGCACACTCTGGCCTAATTTGGGTCGCTAAAAAATGAGCTATGCAGGCCTTGGTTCCCATCCTGCTACCCTCTAGGGCTGGAAGGCTAGTTCCTAGCCTCATCCACTAAAGAATATAGTCCCCAGAAGTAAGCCTGACTGGAAACTTGAGTCAACTGTAGAGCCTGTCCTAGAGCTTCACTTGGGTGGGAATCAAGTTGGCAGTCCTTTACAGCTGTTCTCAGCCAGAAGCACATGCCCCTCCCCCCTCCTGAGAGTCTGAACACTGGCCTTGCCCTGAAAGAGACCATAATAGTATGTTCCATCTACCCAAGGTCATTAGCAGAAATCCCACTCAAAAACCCAAACTGAGCTGATTGATGAAGTGTTGTGTCTGCCAGAGAAAACCTATGAAGTCTACAAGATGAGCCCAGGTACTCAGATGCACAGATAACAATGTGAAGAGTCAAGCATCATGAAAAATCGGGTCGATATGACAACATCGAAGGAAACCGATAAGGCTCCGATATCTGACTTGGAAGAAATGGAGATCTATAAATTGTCAAAGAAGTTAGAATAATCCTCTGAAGGAAGTTGACTAAAACTACAAGAAAACAGGCCACTTAGGAAAACAGTTGCATGAACAAAATGGGAAGTTTGACAAACAAATAGCAGCCATCAAAAACAAAAAAACCCCAAAAAACCAAACCAAAAAATCCTAGAATTGAAAAGCACAAGAACAAAAGAATTCAGTAGAGGGTTTCAAAAGTAGACTAGACTACGCAGAAGAAAGAATCCATAACCTGGAGGATAGCACTTTGGAAATTACCCCATTATAGAGGAGTAAAAAGACAAAAAGAATGAGGAAGAGGGAAGAAAGCCTGTGGTGATTATGGGACACAATGGGAAAAAAATACCTATAATATTGTCATTATAGGTATTACAGAAGAAGAAAAGGAAGGAAAGAAAGTATATTTAAAGCAATAATAGCTGAAGACTTCTGAACCTGGGGAGAGAAAGGGACATCTTGATCCATGAGGCCAGAGGACCCCCAAATACATTGAATCCAAATACAAAATGCTACTTTGCTATCCTGGATTAAAAAAAAAAATCCTTGTCCTAGACCACAGAGGAGCTGGAACTGCTTGTGTAACGTGGTAATTTTGTGCTTTGGTATGCTTCAGTGTTGAAGTAGCAGTGCTAGATAAAATATTAAAGGTAGCATCGCAGTTCACGTGTGTAAGAGAAACAAATGTTTCTTCTTAGCAGAGTCGCTTACTCTCCCGATAGTTTTGTCCATCTCCTTTGTCCATCTCAAGGGCTGGCATTTGGTTTTGAACGCTGTTGCTAGGTGCTGTGCCTTAATGAGAAGGCCTAAGACAATGCTTCTGAGTTTTGGAATGGAGAATTGCAAAAGAAAAATTGCCAAGCTATGTGGCTGAGACTGACTCTCTTACTCATTTTCTGAGAAATAATGTAAAATTCACTAGTTTCCTAGGTTAAATTTTAGGTTAAATGTTGACCCCCATCCCATCATTGTTCTTCACCTGTGAGGCAGAATCTTGGGTGTATGAGGGTGCAGGGGTTTCCTCATTCTCCTGACACCCTCTAGGTTCTGTCAACGAGGAGGCATGTGGGTGCTGTTAATTGTCCTTCTGGAATTTGGCTTTTAGTTCATTGATCCTACCTCTCTGACTGGTGTAGATATTGTGTCTTGGCTGGAGGGCTGAGATGACACATTTACTACCAGGAGAGACCCCTGGCCCTCTTTGGGTGCAAATGCCACTAAACAAATTGAGGAGAAAAAGTCCACTGTTTCCTTCTTATTTCTATGGAACCAGTCAGTCACCTCTTGTAATGGCGGCTCTAGCGGGTTTCATTTACCTTTGTCAGGATATGGTGCTGCTTTTTTGCAGACAGCCACTTGGGCAACACCCTTTGTGGGAACATGAAAAATGGTACCTGTCAGGGACCGCCCGGTAATTTTTAGCACTGGGTCTAATCAAGGCCGTTGGCCAGCTAGGTCAGGGTGCCCCCAGAGAGCTTAAGCTCTTCTGTGAGAAGCGCACTGCACCTGCTGGGCCTTCCCCTCCCGAGTTACTGTGGCTCAGAATCTGCTAAAGCTGCTCTCCAAGTGGCTAGTCTCCTTTTTTGGGTAAAATCTTGTCTTTGGCAGCTTTCTCCCCAAGCACCCTTCCAAATATGCCCGCTATTCTTGCCTTCTTTGAGGTTGTTTCTCATCTCTGGGTTTGTTTTGATTGTATTAAATCATCTGCTGAATCTAAGCTCTGTGTTGCTAGCCGATTGGCCACTGCGTCAGCCTGGGGATCCCTGAATGGCGATCCAGAAACAAATTGTGCCATCTGATACTCCACAGCAGCTCACCTTGAAGCTTTAGTAGCTTTGTGTAAGTGGCCAACCACACGGGGCTCAGTCCACTGCGAGCCTTTCACAAACCAGTTTCTTACATAGCAAAGGGTGATCGCAGTGGCATCACTGTGAACCTTGGTGTGCCCCTTTTTCCACGGGCATGACACTTCCTCACCAGGTGTTCATGGAATACTTACTAGGAGATAACAGTGGGCCAGGCCTAACAAGGCTACGTAGGTTGGATACAGCTTCTCCCTAGGGAGGCTTCCTCTGGAGGAGAGATTGGAGCACTAAGACGGATCGCTGGTCACGCTCCATTTGAGGGGATTTGCTTAATCCTCATCTACACTTGAGAGATTTAATATTTTTGCCATTTTTGCAGAGGAGGAAACAGGCTCAAAATAACTAACGAGCTTGCCAGAGCTCCTGATCATGACAAAGTTAAGATGGAACAGTGTGTTATTGAACTCTAAACTCTGTGGGGAGTTCAATAAAATCTAAGTTAGTAATTAAAAATGGAAGTGAAAATATAGCATGATTTTACATACAGACTTTATATACTGATTTTACTTATTATAATTAATGTATTACATATATATGTACATATAGGTTTTGGAACCTAAGAAAAGAAAAATAAACCAAATGTGATGATAGCTCTAGCTTTTGACCTTGTCGGTGACTTGGGGCCTTTTTTGAGGGGGGGTTTCTGAATTGATACATCTATCTCTCTTTGTTTTAAGATCTCACCTATTTATTTGAGACCGAGAATGAGAGTGGCAGGGGCAAGGGCAAAGCAGACTCCCCACTGAGCTGGGAGCCTGACTCAGGGTTTGATCCCAGGGCCTTGAGATCCTGATGTGAGCCGAGGTCAGACACTTAACCGACTGAGCCACCTAGGCACCCCTGCATTTATATATCTTAAATGAACATGTTTAACTTCTATAATTAAAAACAGACAACAAAAGTTAACTACTGAAGTTGGTGTCTTAAAAAAAGAAACCTGCCCAACTGTGTTGAATGCAACGTTTTGAAACTTATTTTTATCACACATCCTTTTTACTATCTTAAAAAGCATCCACTAACAATGCTCAGAGCTTGGCTTCAGGCTCTGACATACTCTTCACCCATCCAGAGGTTCAGCCTGAACCTTAACCGTGTTTAGCTTTGCTCTGCAATAAAAAGAGAAAATATTTCTCTTCTCTGTGTGTTCGTGGCTTCCCCGCTTTGCATACCCCTTACCAACTTCCCCCGGAATAGTGGGAGACCAGAGGTATTTATTCCCCAAGGGAGAAGCCACGCATGGCAGAGTGTGTGTGTGTGAGACCGAGACGGAGGGTGCTTTCGGCAGTCAGAAGATGAGGAAGTAAGCAAAGAAGGGTCTCTTCCCTTGCAAAGGGTCCTTCATACAGTGGCACACACTGAACGTGCTTTCAGGAGACTTCTCTTAGCACAACTGAAGCACAGGTGTTCCAGCAATTCACAAGGTTGGGGAGTTAGTCAGTACCCTTGTGTGTTTATTTTCCTGTGCGTATTCATAACGAAGTTTTTCCCCACCTTTGCATACAGTATAATCTGGTCTGTTGTTTCTCATACATTTAAACAAGCATTTCAAACAGTTTGACTATTCTTTTTTTTTTTTTTTAATTATCTCAACTCATTTCAACTTGTCAAGTTGTCTTATATAACAGAGTTACCTGGGGTGGGGAAAACTAAGCTCATCTGACTCTTTCAGAAGTAATTGTATGTCTTACATGTTATCTTTGTTTTCTTTTCAGAGATTTATGGAGAATAACAGCATAATTGCTTGCTATAATGAACTGATTCAAATAGAACATGGGGAAGTTCGCTCACAGTTCAAATTACGGTATGTAACAAAGTAAGAAGGGACACGAGGGCAACAGTGGTGTGCAGAAGCTTTCACCACGAGGCTGCTGTTCACAGGTTCCTGGCGAAATCCCAGGGATTTTGAAACTACGAAATAGGTGATGGTAGCTGGTAAATGGCAGATTCTACACGGGGAGCCCTTTGCTTAAATGAAATAAATGAGAAAGCATTTCTTGTTTGGACAATATTTTCCACTGTTTACAACAGTTTCAAAATTAGACTCAAGGAAAAGTACTATGTAATTTTCATATACTTAAATTGGGATTAAGAGTAGCCTTTGAGGATTACTTTCTATTTAGTACTTTAACATTTATAAATGCCTGTATGGGTTGTGAGGAATAGGGGCAAACCAATGGGTATAATTATTAGGCTATCCATAATAATTGTTATGTAACCACGATGGCCATTTCATGGGGTCTGTTTGTGACTTCAGTATACAAGGAAATATGTTCAAGAAATCTTAAGTCTCTTTACAGGCATATAGTGCTTTAAAAACAGGCTTTTCATGATGCTCACTCCTGAGGTGGGCTCATGTAGGCCTTTAGCTGCTGATAGGATATTCTGCTTCTGGGACATCTTGGGATATGAGGGCCCCAGCTCATGGTTGGTTTTGCACAAGCTCTGCATTCATCCACATTCTCAGACCCTGATCTCTTCAACCTACCCCCCTTGAGTAGAGAGAAGGGCAGAGAGAAGGCTCTTGCCAACCTGTATCCCGGGGTGGGGGAAAGTGGCAGTGAGGGGCTCTGCAGTCCTATAGCCCCTCAGGCTGGTGGATGCCAGAAAGTCCTCGGCATGGCTTATCTCTCTGGCCAACCCAGAGGTCATGATAGTTTCAGGCTCAGTGAAAAATAAGATTATACCTCAGTGTAATGATGAGACTTCCCTTGATTACTTAATTTGCGTTCAAAGAGGACAATACCATTTATAAACTTAATTTCTTTCTGACATCCTTGGAAGTAAAATGGATTGACAGAAACCCACAAAGGCAGGTATTTTTGTGGTTTTACCCTGATTAGAGAAGTAACTGCTTGGTGGACAGAAAACTTTAAGAAACTGGGTTTTCAGGCAGTTAAGTGTCTGCCTTCTGCTGAAATCATGATCTCAGGGTGCTGGGATCAAGCCCTGCTTTGGGCTACCTGCTTTGTGGGGAGTCTACTTCTCTTTTGCCATCTGCCCCCACTTCCCTTGCTCATGCTCTCTCTTTCTTACTCTCTCAAATAAAATCTTACAACAACAACAACAACAACAACAACAACAACAACAACAAACCAGTATGGAGATAAGCAATCACTTTCTTAGGTGGGAAAGTATTTTTTTAAAAAATCAAATTAGTGGAAATTTGGGTATTTTAACCATCTATAGTGAGGAATATTGCTAAGGATTTTTAAATATAAAAGTTAAGCTTAAAGCCCTTGGTTTCTTTGTATCCTTGTTCTCAGCTTCAGGGAGCTTCATAAAATTGAGAAAACTCATTGCCTTTTCTTCAAGCAATTTCTGATGCTCATTATACATTGTTTTTATTCCTTGGGGTCTCTACTATTTTTCACTGAGGATAGAAGGACTGCTTTTAGAGGTTTTCAAAATAGAATAAGAGGGGTTTCATTTTGTTTTAATTCTTCAGCTGTGTATATCTATAACAGAAATGAACAGCTGTCCCCCTACCGCTCTGGTAGTTAATTCCCTCGTTGGATTTTAAGTAACTGCATTTTTTTTTTAAAGATTTTATTTATTTATTTGACAGACAGAGATCACAAGCAGGCAGAGAGGCAGGCAGAGAGAGAGAGAGGAAGGGAAGCAGGCTCCCTGCCGAGCAGAGAGCCCAACATGGGCCTCGATCCCAGGACCCTGGGATCATGACCCGAGCCGAAGGCAGCAGCTTTAACCCACTGAGCCACCCAGGCGCCCCAGTAACTGCGTTTTGAGTTCTCTTGAGCACCATTCCATGTGATGGCTTGGGTAGGATGTCTGAAGGTGCCTTGTTCACATCAGGGCAAAGGCAGGGTCTGGTAATTTGAAACAAACCTTCTCAGCCAACACAAGGGTTAAAGGGGTTCATGTCACTGCGCTCATGAGATTTGCTTCGAGCCAGGGCACTGAACGCTTTGGAAGGTCTCCTCAGATTCAGAACTTGGCCAGGTCCTAAGTACATAGTGCTAAGTAGATCCTGTAACTTCTCAGGCCTCCCGGACTGGAGCTGGCTGGAGGGGTTGGCCCCATTGTGGGGGTCATAATGAAAAGGTTCAGGTTAGTACTAGAAATCAGTGTGAAGTTGGTTAGTGGACTTGACCCCAGCGGGCCATCGTGCCAGGAGGCTGGGTTTGCCCCATGTGCGGATCCCTTTCCACAGCAGCTTAAGTTTGTCTGGTCAAGGGCCTCTCTCCCCAGTCACGAGCCGCCAGCATGACAGCAGCCCCTGTGGTGGGGAAAGGAAAACCAGAGTCCTTCACAGAAGGCCAGAGAAGGACCAAGTGGTCAGTTTCTTCTCTTACGCTTCGCATGGTTCTGCCTCGAGCATCTCTAACTTCCTGCCCTCTTTTGGAGAAGGGTATGTGTGCCTGTTTGACTTTTCCTGCATACCCTATATCTGGGCCCTGCAGTCAGGGTGTGATGACCCATTCTGTGACCTCCCCAGCTCCTTCGAGAACCTCAAAAGAACCCACCTGCCTCTCAGAGTCAGGGAGGCCGCTCTGTCACTTGCTGCCATTGGGGAAAATGAGGCTCTTTATTACACAATGCCAGAATAATTATAGTCTAATTATATAATAGTTTTCTTTGCAATTCCTCCCCCAGCTGCAGCTAAATACGTGACATTACTAGCATTCTGCAAGGACAGGCTGTACTGCACGGAAGATGTCAAATGTTGAAGGTAGAAACTTTTGTCCGGGTCTTGGTTTGTGGTAATGAAATTTCACCAAGACAAAAGAAGGATCATGTGATCAAACAGATACTTAATTTTGAAATTCCATGATAAGAATAACTTCTGAAGAGAAGAAATAAATCCTGTGTCTGCATGCTTGATGAATTACTGTATTAAACAGGACAAGGCATGGGGACTGGGGAAAGACGGGGTAAATGATGACCACTTACTTCTATCAATGTTTCTATGTCTTTATGATGAAAAGAGCTATTATCCAAAATGCAGATAAGATTTAGCTCCTTAGCGGGAATTTAAACTGATCGGTTGATAATAACACGGTATGAGCTATTTTATTTTATTGGTCTGATATTTGTTAGCCAGGACTTGGACTCAAATCGTCAGGTTTAGTTTACTCCCGATCTTAAGACCATAGCAGTCCTCCATTTCAGCAAGATCCTAAGTGTCTGAGGGACAGAACTTTGTATTCCATGGAATGCTACACTTCTCAGTATCCATAGATGTTTCTAGAGTGCCGTATCCTGGCATAGACCCTGGTGGCTGGCCCTGTGCTCCAGGAATAGAGTCCAGCTGTGAAGCCTTTGAGTCACTGGTCCCTGTGGCTTCACTGCCCAGGGTTGGTGCTGACCAGGAACAAGTCTGTGAGCCCCTGGCCATTGCTGCTTCCCTCTTCCTGCCCCTCCTGGACCCTGCTGGCCTGTGGATTGCAGTTCAGGTTTAAGTTTCCCTGAAGCCAGCACCGCAGGCCTACCTTGTTGCAGGCAGCCTTGGCTGGTATATGTGTGTGTTGAGTAGATGCTAGAGTATCCTTGACAGGGGCATGGGGGTGGTACAGGAGATAACACAACCTGACCATCCCAGCCCCAGCGGACAGAGGAAAACACTGAGAGCCAGGGAGACTCTGGACATAATCACTGCTACCCAGGATGTCAGTGGCAGTGTTGGGGGGCTGGGGGGTGGTCCAGGCACCCTGCTATTCAGTCTGAGAATCCCCACACCCCATCATACCGTGCTGTTCTTTGTAGATGTCACACCAGGGCCCCTGTGATACTTGCTGTGTGCATCAGGACCTTCAGGGGCCCTTACGAAGGTGAGGGGTCCTGGTTCCATGGCCTGCCCTCCATGGGTTCCCACGTCGAGTTTACCCTCCCTTTGAGCTCTTTCCAGTTTTCCAACTTCTTAACCTGAAAGATAGAAAACTCAATCTGAGGCACAGTTACATGGTTCCCGAGAACAGAAAATGAGTACCGCTAAGGATCTTCTGCATGAAGACTATCAATAATTAATAAAGCAATTAAATTCCCAAACTCTAGGAATATGATTAAATTGATTACCTCACTTTGCTGCAGGTTTATTTAAATAGAACCATCAACCAAATTGGTTTTAAAACCTAGGTCTGAACAGTGCCATCCAGCCTGTCCCTGGGAGAAAACAGCCTACTGGCTCCACTCACGTTCTCCCTTGACCATTGGTACGAATTTGCCTTGTTCCACTGGGTGTTACACCAAGCGTTTTATGCTTTGTGGATCATCACACAATGAATATTTCATAGGTAAATTTCGGCAGTGGGAGCCGAGGTCTTCCATACAAGCAGCTCTTGAATTGACAAAAACAGCAACAGGCTGAGGTACCCGTTTAAAGGTTTAGGTGAGATGGACAGGCACTTTCAGAAAATGGGCAGGAGAGGAATTTGTCGCTTGATAAAGTAAGTTATAGCTCAGTTATCCAGCTCTCAAATGGAAGGGTTAGTCCACACATGGTGTGCTCTTCCACACGGGACTCCTGGAGGATGGGATACCCTCTCTTGTGCTGTCGGGCTGGGTTCTGGACCCACATGCCTGGGAAATACTAGTGATGAGACTAGCTCTTGCCTGTCTCTTCATGAAAGGCAGTGTAGTCGGGACTTTGGTAATAATTTGAAAATCTTCTTTTATTCTTTTTTTTCCTCTGTTAAATGATCTCATTTACAAATGCAGCAAGGGTATTAAGACAGTCCACTGTCCAAATTAGACTGGCGCCATTGAAATAAGGAAACATACTGCGTCCGTCAAGAATCTCTGAGGAGTTTGGCGTATCTTCTCTGCTCACCCCATCGTGGTTACTTACTTAGCTGCCCACACCGGTCCCTTCATCTCTGCAGCTACGGGAACCGTACTCTTCAATGGAATAAAATCTTTTACTCACCATCCAGATTACCTTGCTAATATTGAATATGGTTTTCGGTTAGATATTTCAGGGATACTCATGAGAGAAGATAGGTTATGATTCGTTTTTCTTCTCAGCATTAGCCTTTGAAAGGGTTAGAGAGTTAAGGACATACTGTCCTGGGAGCTTATAAATAATACTAAGGATTATATGCTGAATTCTTTTTTTTTTTTTAGATATTTAATAAATTTTATTTATTTTTTATGAATTCTTTTTTTTTTAAGATTTTATTTATTGAGTTGAGAGAGGGATGGGGAGAGGCAGAGTGAGAGGGATAAGCAGACTCCCCACTGAGCTCAATCCCAGGACCTGGAGACCACAACATGAGCCAAAGGCAGACGCTTTACCATCTGAGCCACCCAGGCGCCCCATGCTGAATTCTTATATTATTCAAAGCACTTTTGAGAAATGCCTCACATAAACTGTTTTGATTTTTTACTGCAACCTATAAAATGGGTGTTATTCTCATTTTATAGATGAGGAAGCTGGGGGCCAGCAAGGATACAAAAGTCCCATAACGTAAAATACAGAATCAGACTTGACTCTGTTTTTTTCTGCCCTGTCCCTTGTCAATAGTTTAAAACGATGGCTAAAGTAGCTGCCTCTATGAGTGGAAAAAATTACTAACCTCTTAAGAGTCTGTTTTATAAGGAGCAAAATCAATGAAGTAAATCTGCCTTTTTTTTTTTTTTTTTTGTAATGAGTAAGAAACCCCTCCCTGGGAATCTTTAAATAGCCAGTACAAATAACAAAGCTGTAGTAACTAGCTACATACTTTCTGTGTTAGGTAGTAAATAACTTGCTGTATTTGGAGTTGCACTAGGTTAGAAGGTACTTAAAATTCTAACCAAGAAACTGAGAAGTTGAAATGATTTCGAATATTCTCCTTGGACAAGAAAGGTCACCAAGGCAAGTGCCTACCTGGAAGGCTGTATAAGTAGAGTAAGCAGGCCAGGGGAATTCTGCCAGATCTGCCTTCCATCATGCCAGGGGCTGTGGCTGAAGGCAGAGTACCATATAAAGGCTTGTTTATTAGAGACGATGAAAGTAAGGAGGAAAAAAATGTCTCTGTGTCTGTTGCAGAAGGGCAGACAGAATACCTGAGATTCAGTTTGGACTTAATTGAGTTCTCCTCATTGCTGGGGTCTTGACTTCTCCCTGGCCACACTAGCAATGACACAGAAGAGCGCTGACATAGACTCAGGAGACTTAGAAGAGGGTCTCCTGCAGCTGAGTTCTCTCGTGTCAATGTTAAGGTTTCATTTGGCACATAGGTAGTTCATTCCATAATCCATGAAGAGGTGGCTGGATTACAGTCCTTGGTGTCCTAGTCACAGAAATGGATGCTATTGTTTATTCAAATTAACTAGTTGAGTTTGAAAGGCTAGGGCGTTTATTTTCCTTCCAAAAGGGCATGGTTTTAATGAATTGCGGGCAACTGTTTACTTTGATAAATTAACACATAAATGCAAATGGTTTTATGGCTGCACTAATGTCAGTCTTCTGCAATTTCAGGGCCTGTAATTCAGTGTTTACAGCCTTAGACCACTGTCATGAAGCCATAGAAATTACAAGTGATGACCATGTGATTCAGGTACGGAGACACTTTTTACCTGGAGATGTGAAAACAGAACCTCTCAAGTTTGAGCCATCCTTTTTCCAGGGACCTTGCCATAAGTCTTACATTTTTATATATTATCTTTGGAGAAAAGAACATCAAAGTATATGAAGAAAACTGATGGGCTTAGTTTAAGAACTAGATATCCAACAAGAATAAACAATGAGTTAGATTAGAACCTGTGATTTCTTTGACCAAGACAGGTGAAATTCTTTGACCATTTGTAAAGACAGCATTTACATGACACAGAAGTAAGTCAGAATTACAGAGTAAATGATGAATGCCTGTGGGGATGAAATATTTCAACCGTCCTCATTTATTTGCCTACAGTTGGTTTCATAATTATAGAGCTATCTTGTATGGTCAAGTTACCTTCTGAAGGAAATGGGTATAGTACACAAACCTTTTTTGAAGTAAAGTCCTCTGTTCTGTTTGTTGGGAGGTAAGACCTTTACACTTCAACAGTGTTCTGAAATGTAGACTTGACCATCGGTAGTACCAGCCTGCCTGCAGTTGGCTCGCACAATGGCACTGAGTTTACGCTTGGTACACTCGGAGTCATCAGTAGAAACCAGACATGGTGCCCCACGACAGAGCCCCCACTGCACACAGACAAACCCTGCTCTCAGGCCCAACCATCGGCAGGCTACCCTCATAAACAGGTCCATACCATTACCTCCTTTCCCTTCACTGACTCTTGTGAAAGAGTGCTCCATAATATAGATGAGGAAACTGAGGCCAGCAAGGTCAAGGAATTTACTCAAGCCCCAGTAGAAAATATTGGAACCGAAATATGTAGCCATGTCTTTCTGACTGCAGAGCCTTCCTTCCTGGCTCCTGGTCTGACTCTGTCTATAGAAGTTTTCTGGCTATTTGGTGAAGTGAGTCTGGAAGCTTCCTCGTGTTGCTTCCTGTCACTGCCTGCCTGCACACACACAGATCTGCACCCTGCACCACAGAGGAAAACAGACATGTTTGCTACTGACCAAGTACACATCTCCCATTCCCCTCACTTACATCCAGACCAGAATGCTCAATTCCAGTCATGGAACACGTTTGCTTTGTACCTGCCTCTGATGGTGGGCAGCCAGGTTGTGATCTCTGTAACAAGCAGAAGGGGCTCCCTGCTTTCCCTGCCTTCCCTGTTGGTAGTCTGATGATTCCTTGAACAGGGAACAGAGTCCATTCTTCTATAGTGAGCATTCTAAGTGGTTCTGAACCTTTGATATCTGGGGTGGGGAGGGGAGATGCTGTGGTGCTATCATCCCCTCCCCCCCACTTTACCATGAACAGGAAGGAAGGGACTACCCCTTTAAAATCTGCTGGTGATCTGCATATAAAACTCAAAAGCAAGGAGAAAGAAGTTGAATAGAGGATGTTACGTTTAAGGGGGAAGTAAAATGACATCTGTGTTATGGATTTCAAGAGGAGTCCTCATGGCCAGGGTATCTTACATATGTTCTTGCTTCATACCGGGGCCCTTCTTGAGGCATGGCTGCCAAAGAGTGTGTACCTCCGTGTGACTATGTTTCAGAGACTAAGGGGTAGTACCTTCAGGAACAATATTTACCTACTCATCCCTTCATCTCAACTATTCATGACATTTACAGGAAGCTTGCCATATGCCAGGCGTAGTACTCAGCACTTTAGACATTCTTATTTAGTTCTTAAGGCCATTTTATGAACCAGGCACTACTGTTGCAGCCATTTTACAGAGAAGGAAACTGAGAGCCAGAGAAGACAAGTAACTTGCCCACAGTCATGGAGCTGGTAAATGGTAGAGCTGGGATTTGAACTTGAGCCTGTTGGCTGCAGAGTCCACGTCCTAGAGTACTGGCTGCATTCCAAGGTTATAGTAACTCTAGCACGAGCAAAAGGCCATGACTTCTACCCATATTTTCAACTTAAGAGTGAAGGTAGACAGAATAAACATACAGGAAAATGTATGAGAATTTAGCCAACAAGGAAAACGGTACTTAGGTCACGTATTTACTAAACAGTACTGAGTCTCCAGGGATAAATCCAAAGTAGCCTTGCCCTCGAAGAATTTTGTGTCTAATCGGGGAGAGAGATAATAAACAAAAATTAGGACTGAGCATGAGAAGTCACTGGCAGCCTACAAAGGAGAGTTTGGGAGCCTGTAGGAGTGGTACCAGCTCGGACTAGTTAGGGGGTCAAGGATGGCTTGCTAGAGGAGGGGAGGGACAGAGCAGAATTGGCAGGGCATGGAGATGGGCAAGGGTATTGTAAGTAGAGAGAGCATGTGGGCTGAGTCCCGGAGGTGAGAGGCCATGCGGCCCAGCCCCAGGAAGGTGGTGCCCACCACAGGTAGGTGATGGGAAGTCAGTGAAGACAACGTCACCACCCCTCCTCTTCTGTCACTCCTACAAGGCCACCTGCTAAGGCTCCAGAGCAACCTCGAACCCCTCCAGATCCTGGATTTCATGGTGTCAGTAGAAGCTTTGTTCTCAAGGGACTAGCTCCCCAAGAGACCCCACATCACCCGGGTTCCTACTGCGGTCCTTGTAATGGAGCGCAGGAGTGACTGGTAATGGTTTGCAAGATTGTGTCTGAACCAGCAGATGGATGTGCTTGTTGCCCAAAGAAATCCATGACTTAGAAGCCATATGGTCCCATTTTTCCCCATGTTCTTTGACTCGTTTCCCTCATTCAGCTTCTCATCCAGGAATTATTCTTTCAGAAGAAATGGGAGGCTGGAGATGGGAGCTGGGAGTCAGGCAAGGAAGTAGCTCTGAATTCCAGGGCCCGGGCAGAACTGTGGAAAGAAACCTGTTAGTCGGCTGGCCTCAAAATGTGCTAAGGACATCTCTTTTCATGCCCATGTGTGCCCAGCACTGAAAGGGCTGCTTTCTGCCCTGCTTAATTACATGTATTGTTCACATGAGCTGGGAGGTGGCCCCAAGTCATTGCGTCGGTTAGTAGATAGTGGCAGTCGGAAAAGAGGCACAGGAGATCAAATCTCGGCCTTGCAGAGAGGTGGCTAACATAAACCCACCACCTGTTGAACTAATTAATTTTTATTCTAGCTCCTTTTTTTTTTTTTTGTTTTTTTTTTTTTTGAGTTTTTTATTTCATGGGCAGTTGAAGATGAGTAAGGCCCCCGAAAGGCTGCTGTCCTCAATGAGGGCTTCTGGCTCTTGTCTGCTAAGGGATGTCTTCCAGTGTCCCAGAGGGAACCAAGATGCCGGTGTGCTCAGTGAGCACATTGCCGCTCAGGAGTGAGGCAGCCACTCTGGGCACCGTAGTGGCAAGGGGAGGACCAGTTGACACCTACTTCAGAGAGTGCTTATCCTGGAACTTCCTATTTGATTGTCCAATGTGTTCCTCTGTGTGCTGGCAAGTGCTCCTGGGGGCACGCAGTGTACCCGCACTCATCTCTAACCACCTCCTATTCACAGTACGTCAACCCAGCCTTTGAAAGAATGATGGGCTACCACAAAGGCGAGCTGCTGGGCAAGGAGCTCGCTGAGCTGCCCAAGAGTGATAAAAACCGGGCCGACCTTCTCGATACCATCAACACGTGCATCAAGAAAGGCAAGGTCAGTGAAAGAGATCTGCAAACTCCTCCCTGATGCTTTTTTTTTTTTCCCCAATGAGCTCTATGTCATGTCATTGCCATGTCATTAAGATGAGCTCTTCTCCTAAGATGATAATTCAGTGAAAGATCTCTTATGTTTGCAAAATGAGTCAATTGTTGGATTAATTTTGGATCCCAAACAAATGTGGTCCTTAACGGTGCTGTAGAATCTGATGAGTTTGCATCAGGAGAGTTTATCCTTGGGGTGAAGATAGCCAACCCGTCATTGCTGTAGGATCATTCCTGTCTCTGAGCCGGGCTCCCACAGACAGCTGTCCTGTCAGTGTGTCCAGGGCAGTGAGTGCCATAGGCACCTTTCCTCAGGCTCCCCCCTCTAGAGGAGGAGTGTGTCTCCTGCCACCGGAGCTCCCTGGGCATTGTCTTTTAAGAATTCAGAATGTTTGCTCATCCGATTTCTCTCATCCTACTTCCTCCAATGTAAGTAGTTAGATAAGCACTGTATTCATTTAACAAGGGACCACTTTTTAGGAAAAAAAAAAAAGTTTGGGTTTATATGACATCGATTTTTTTTTAAAGATTTTATTTATTTAATTGACAGAGATCACAAGTAGGCAGAGAGGCAGGCAGAGAGAGAGGAGGAAGCAGGCTCCCTGCTGAGCAGAGAGCCCGATGTGGGGCTAGATCCCAGGACCCTGGGATCACGACCTGAGCTGAAGGCAGAGGCTTTAACCCACTGAGCCACTCAGGCGCCCCAACATCAATTTTTTTTAACCATAGGGGCAGTGAGCCTGACTACTGGCAGAGAAGTCTTGGGTAGGATACCCTGTAGGAGAGTAGGAAGAGGACAGGTTTCGAGGAGAATTAAGAGACGAGAATTTACAACCGTGTTCTCCACTTCCTAACGTGGGCAAATTAATCACACCCTCCGAGCCTCGGCTTACTTATCTCTAAGGTTGATAATACCAATCTCAGAGGTTGCTGTGAATATTTTAAGGAAGACCCTGTAAGGATCCCTTGACCTGGGGCTGCTACACCCAGAGGTCTGAGAGTGGCAACTCAGCCCACTCTTCAACTGTCCTTGGACCCTGGAAGGCCAGCCTGGAGGTGGACACGTTGGTCTTTGGGGTTTTCGTGCATAGTGACCATGAGTCTTAGGTAGTAAGCATTACAGTGGGTATAATGATGGAGTGTTTAGTGGAATGGTACTGCTTAACTTGACAAGACCCTCTGTAGAAGCAGCCATAAGCTTCGACGGAAGGATTTTAAAAGCTCTCTTTGTCTATGTAGGAGTGGCAGGGGGTTTACTATGCAAGACGGAAATCCGGGGACAGCATCCAACAGCACGTGAAGATCACTCCAGTGATTGGCCAAGGAGGGTGAGAGCAAACTTGTTGATCTCTTTTAGTTGAAGGGCTCATGTATGCATTGGGTTTTACGTATTGAAATGCCACTGTAAGCATTAGACCCCCAAACATGGTAGGTTGGGCTGTGCATAGGATATACTGTGGACAATTCCATGTGGCTGGCAACAGCCCTCAGACGTGGCTTTCTCTCCCCATCTCTCCTGCCGATGGGCTTTACAAGGCATCTCCCCAGCTGCCCACCTTCACCTGCTCATCTGTGGTTCCACCATCCCCACTACCCTCTAAAGGAGCTGTGTTTAGACTTCCCCTGTCATAGCAACAACAAAACAACAGGGCTCACTGGCCTCAGCCCTGCCCCTGGGAGTCAATCTTCTCTCCTTGAGGCAGTGGCTCTGTAGTGCTTCTTTCCGGGCTGGCTTTGGGCTTGTTCCACACGGCAGAAAGAGCCCTGGAGGTCATGTTTATGTGGAGAAAGATGTGTTTGACCAGAAGCTGAGGTGATCTGATTTCATTTAATCTCAGATTATCAGAGAAGACTGTTTAAGAAGGTAAATATGTAATTTCTCTTCCTTCTCCCAGTTAAACTTTGTGAGAGGGTTTACAAAGCCAAATAGGATCCCCAAAGAGTATATCACTGAGGAGCCTTTATAAGCTGGCTAGAAGGTCAACAGTAGCTTCATAGCACAGTTTACGAGGGACACCTGTTGTTCTGTGATGTTTTGAAAGAAGAGGTATGAGTCGTCTGCCTAGTAACCGGGAGTGGAAGGTCCTGCCTGTGACTCTTAGCACTACCTGAGTTACTTCCAAATTGTTGGGTGGTTAGAAATCAAAATATTCTGTATAGTGAGCAAAGTGCCTGGAAGTCTTTTCCTCTCCAATTTTACTTGTTGGGTAAATTTTGAAATTGTTACCCTTCGGTTCAGAGACCACTGTCTGTGTTTCCTGCCATTTAGCTTCCCTCTGGGTGTTGGGGCCCTGGCAGGCCTGACAAGGGTTATGAGCACAGAGCGAGTCCTCCTGGGTCCCCTTGGCATGGCCATTTCCACCAGCAAGAGGCCATGATGGCTGTCATGTTGGTATTATCACCATCCTTAGACCATCTTCTCAAAACACTTGAGCTAAGATGGACTCCGTGTGTGTGACAAGCATTCTTAGGTAACCAAGGCAGAGGAGACACTTTGCTTGGTAATTTCTGTCAGAATGAATTTTTCTGATCTTTCTGATTTTACAGGTAAGAGAGAAGCTCTTTTGTCTAGATGTAGTGTTATTTTATTTCCCCCACATGTAGGCAGTGTACGGTCAGAGGAAATTCTTATTAAATGTATGTAAATTTCACCTTTCCAGGTCAGTGAAGCTCATTATAGAATAACCGGTATTTTCTATGCTCTCTTCAGGTTCTTCTAGAGAAAGTTGAATCAAAGGAAGAGAGACAGAGAGGAGACTCTTTCCTATTCCTATAAAGTCTCACATAACCTTCTGGAATTACTGGTTCCACTGTCAGTAGAAAAATCTACCTTGAACTGACTTTTGTGCTGGGCTGAGGCAGCCGTAGTCTCTTTCTGGTCTCCCTTGTGGTCATGAGCAAGACTGTAGGCTGTTTTGGCATTCTGTCCATAACCTTGAATTAAGACGAGTTTTCTCTGCCTGAAAAATGCCCTCATTGTGATGACCACGCTGTGAAAGAATATGGAATATTAATGTAAAAACAGTGGCCATGTAATTTGGTCATTGTCCAAATGAGTCTTTTGCTTTTTATATCAGCTGTAAAATTATTAGTGTCAGTGGAATTAAAACCAATTTTGTCTGGAGTAGGCTTTTATCCTATCACGGAAGATACCTAGGAGACAAGCTTCAGGAGTCTTTAGCAAGATGAAATATTAGGAAAGTGCTTCTGAGCCAACTGTGACTAATAGGGAAGCCCAGTTTCCGAAGGCATGTGTGGGCTCTGTAGAAAGAGTGGGTTTTCCATAGACTATGTTTTGTTCAAAATTTAAATCTGCCCTAGAATGGACCCTGGGGTTTTGCTTTAAGAAACTCTGTTGATGTTTTCATTTGCTGATTTGTTGAATCATCTCCTATCTGAATCACTAATAACTGATCATTTATGTTATTAGGAAAATTAGGCATTTTGTCTCCCTCAAGAAACTGTGTTGTACCACTGACAATAATAAGCAGGTATGGTATTCAGTTTCCTTCCTTTGCTTTGTCAGCTTGACCACGCATTACTTTCCCACCACTGTTCTCTGCTTGTCTTTCCGTTTAGGAGGTTTATGGCAAAATTAGGCTCCTTTAACAAATAATTAAGAAAAAAATCTCCTGTAAGCTTCTGCTGCTTTATTAATAATGCACATCAGTTATGATTTAGCTTGTGACCCTACCACTAAAGACTAATATACTTTATGAGAGCATAAAATTCTTCTTCCAAATAAAAACTGTTTTATTTTTTCTATCTTAATTTCTTAAATGACAAACATATATGTATTTGAGCATTTCCCTCCTACAAATTCCTATCAAAAACAGTCGTTCCAAGTTAGTAAAAATTAGTACTATGAGCGCTATTTCGTTTTACCATTACATCATGTAGAATAATACATTTGAATCTTGTTTTCGGGAGTAACGGAATTTTAATAAAGTGAAGAGTTTTAAAAGAGTTTTATCGTAGAGAGCAATTTTGATATTGGTATATCTTTTAATTATACTTTGAATACTGGATTATGCATATTTTCATTCATGCTTTAGAATTTATTGGTTAAAAAGTACTGAAGAAGCGTAATTACCAGTGATCTATGCTTGAAAACATGAAATATGGCCTTGGGGATATATGGAGATTCTAAAAGAAGGAATAATATCTTGAAAGGATATAGAGGTCTTTGGGGGCATAATACATTTTAGGGGAGCATGTTGGGGAGTTGAATAGCGTAGGATCCGACGGTAGAGGCTGGCCAGGCAAGGAGAGGACCTGCTGGGTGATAGGGCCAGTGGATGCCTGGGCTCACCCCCACCTTGAGTAGGCAGCTTCTGGAGGGGAGGTGGGTCTGGGCGCCACGAGCCTGTGCATGACTTTCAGCTGCTGACTCAACCCATGGAAAGTACCCATGCCTCACACTTTTCATAAAAAAATGATGATTCGATACTTGTGTCAAATTGAAGTGATCATTGCAAAATGATCATTAAGGTCAGTCAAATTAACATGAATCACCAGACATAATTACAAAATTTTTTCTTGGGACAAGATCTTCTTTTGAGACCTATTCTCTTAGCAACTTTCAAATTTACATTGCAGCGTTAACGACAGTCACTGTACTATACATTATACCCCCATGACTTACTTATTTTATAAGTGGAAGTTTGTACTTTTGACCCTCTTCATGCATTTCACCCTCCTGCCCCCACCCTGCCTCTAGCAGCCAATCTGTTCTTTGTATCTTTTTATATTTGGTTTTTCATTTTGGGTTTTGCTTCTACGTATAAGTGATACCATATAGTATCTGTGTTTTTCTTCATCTATCTTATTTTACTTAGCATACTGACCTCAAGGTCCATCCATGTTGTCAGAAATAGCAAGATTTCCTTCCTTCTGATGGCTGAATAATGCTCCTTTGTATACCTTTTCCATATCTTTCTGTCCATTCATCCATCAGTGGACACTTAGGTGGTTTCTGGGTCTTGGCTGTTGTAAACTGTGGTGCCATGAACCTAGGAATGCATATATCTTCTCAAGTTAGTGTTTTCCTTTCCTTTGGATAAATGTCCAGGAGTAAATTGCTAAAACATATGGTAGTTCCATTTTAAATCTGAGGACCCTCCACGGTGTTGTGCCCATAGACATTCCCACCAACAGTGCCTGAGGGTTCCCTTTTCTCCACATCTTAGCCATACTTGTCATTTCATATCTTTTTGACACTGACTATTGTAACAGAGGTAAGTGGATACCTCATGGTGTTACCGATTTGCGTTGTCCTGATGACTAGTGGTGTCGAGCATTTTTGCATGTACCTGTTTGCCATCTTTAAGTCTTCTTTGAAAAAACGTCTACTCAGATCTTCTGCCAACTTTTAAGTCAGATTTTTTGTTTTGTTTTGTTATTGGGTTGTATGAGTTCTTTCTATATTTTGGATATTAACCCCCTTACCTAGTATGATTTGCAAGTATTTTCTCCCTTTTGGCAAATTGCCTTTTTATTTTGTTGATAGTCTCCTTTGCTGTGCAGAAGCTTTTTTAGTTTGACGGTAGTCTCAACTATTTATTTTTGTTGCATTTGCTTTTGGTGTCATACCTGAAAATTCATAGCCGAGACAGATGTCAAGGAGCTTAGTCCCTGTGTTGTCTTCTAGGCATTTATTGTTTCAGATATTATACATGTTCAAGTATTTCATCCATTTTGAATTGATTTTTCTGTGTGGTCTAAGATAATGGCCCAGTTTCATTCTTTTGCATATGGCTATTAAGTTTTCCCAGTATCATTTATTGAACAGACTATCCCTTCCCCATTGTATCTTGTTGGCTTGTCATAAATTGACCATATAAATATGGGTTTATTTCTGGGCTTTCTATTCTGTTCCATTGCCAGCACCATATAGTTGGGATTCCTATAGCTTTGTGATGTAGTTTGAAATCAGGGAGCATGATACCTCCAGCTTTGTTGTTCTTTCTCAAGATTGATCTGACTAGTCACAATACTCTAGAACAGCGAAGGGAATTGTGCTTTAAGATTTAGTCCAACATAAAATGCCTCTTTCAACATGGAGAATTTCATCGAGAATCAGGAAACTTTCACTCAGTATCATCGTCACATAGAAAGGCAAGTCCTTGGGGACCTCTGGGAAAGGAAGGGACTTGACTTCCATAGAAAAATAAATTCTCCCGGCAGCAAAGTTGACACATTGCAGGAGGAAGGATGAGGTCTATGTGAGAGGTGACATGGGTGGAGGGAGAGGTGTAGGACATCCTGGTGGGTCTTCAGAGACAAACTACTGAACCCAAGCAATGCAAGTCAGCCTGTCACGGGAGGTGAAGCTGCCATGCAGGGCGCAGCTCATTGACGCTCACGCTCATTCATGCAGACGCCAGAAATAAGCCAAGTACAGTTCACGTCCTAAGTACGGCCTTCCGCTATCAACCTAGGCTCATTCCTCCTCCTTCCTCTCTTTATCGGGCTGTCAGACCCCCCAGTCTCCTCGTCACCAGTCTCTCTACAACTACATATCTCCCAGTTCTACCCATCCTTTGCTGTCCATCCCAAGGAATGTCAAGTGCCCTTCCCCTCCTCAAGCCCCCAAGTTCCTTCTGTGCTGAGTATCACCCCCACTGTTACCATGGCCATTTGTGTGCCTAACTGCCCTCTCGTCTCCAGAGCGGTAACCAGCCTGTGCTTGTCTCTGTGAGCCTGTCCTGCCTGGCGCATAGTAGGTCCTGCAGCTCTTTGTTAGCTTAAATGGGATGGAAGGTCAAGGTTCTGGCTTCCTGCCACCTTCCAACCCCTCCTGCTTCCCAGAGAAAGGAGGCCGTCCCTTAGTACAGGACCTAGGGTTGCAGCATCACGGGGCCGTGTCTTTTCTGATGCCCTAAATAGAAACGACTTTACTGCCGTGAATTAGCTGCTGTTCTGAGAAGAGTAGAAACACAGAGCTATGATACCCTGAGCCATTGACGTCACCTAATGGTGCTGCACAGGCCTGGAGAGACACAGATTTTCCAATAACAAAGAATTTTTATGTCTCTGGCTAGCCGCAGTGTTTTTCCTCCTCATCTAAGGAGGCTGAAGTGAATGGTGATGGCTCTGTGATGGGAAGGGCTCCCCAGAGGGTGGGAGCAGCCTGTCTGAAGGCGGGCCTGGCTGCACTGCTTTCTGGGGTTTAGCCTTGACGTCAAGATCCGCCCATGGGTTTGCATTTTAACAAGGAATGAAATTGTAAGCCAGAGTGCTGTCTTCTGGTAGGGCTTGTCATCAGCAAAAAACCTTTTTCCTGTGTGAGCCCTGTAGCTTTTTGCCAAGGGGCTAGAAGAGCTCAGGGAGGTTTGTTGGCTGTAAACACTGTACTGTCTTCCATCCCCACACACTTGCTCCCCAAATGCCAGGGACGGTCTCTGCCCAGAAGCCGTGGGGGTCACAGACAGATCAATAGGATACATTTTTAGAGAATGGCGCAGGGGAAGGTGAGAGCCAAGAGCAGGAGAAGCATGGAACACAGAACCAAAGGAGACTGGCTAGAATTTTTTTTAGGTGTCCTCTAGTACGGGGGGCAGCAAACTACACCCTCCAGGCTGAGTGTGGTCAGGTTTGTATGTAAAGCTTTATTGGAATACAGCCACACTCTTTGTTATGTTCTGGTCGCTTTCATATTACAACAGCAGACAAGTTACTGCAGACGCTGTGTGGCCCACAGAGCCTAAGATGTTTACTCTCTGGCCCTTCACACAAAAAGTTTGCCAGCCCCTTTTCCAGAGGATGATTTTCTTTTTGGACTACCCACCTAGCCACATACATACGTCTTAGACTCTTGGCCTTTGTGCCACCCCTGCACTCCGGGGCAGAGCCTGTCTCAATCCCTTCAAATCAGGAAGACACGAGGACCTGTTCCCTTAAAGTTTTTGCCTTTTCGTGTAGTCTAAATCCAAATGCATGACTCAAAGTGGAATTCCAGGGACCTGCTATCATGGTCCAGGAGTCAAGCTGGTATAGGGAAAGGAGACTTCTAGATCCTGATTTCACACTAGCCTCTCCTGAGCTGGTCTGGTCAAAGCAGAGGGGCCTCCCCACTGGAGTCCTTACAGTGCCTACTATTAGTGCCTCCCCCATTCTTGCATTTTCCTCCAAGCCTCGGCCATGGGAATATGGAGAGCACAGCACTCCCAAAAGCCAGCACGCCCATGGCAGGCATGGAGCTCTGGGAGAGAGGACGGGAAGCCAGTGGGCAAGAGGGTGGGGTGCAGCTGGCTGTGTGTGTCCTTGGAGTTGGGTCACCTGGGCCCTCTTCTTGTGGATGGACGACTCCCAGGCCACGGAGAAGCCCCAGAGTGGTGCAGAGGTGGCCTGTACTGTAAGAGGAGGTTGTTCATTTTTGTGAAGTCAGGGAGCACAGACACCCCATGAGCAGCTCCAGAAAATATTCCCTGTTGCACTGCGGTAGAGCAAGGGAGGACCCGTGACCAGGCTCAGCGGAGGCCTGCTGCTT